GAGGGACGGAACGGAAAAGTACGGGACAGGACGGGAAAGGACGGGAAGGGACGGGACGGGATGAAAAACTGAATAGCAAAAATAATCAAATCTACACAGTGTAAAAGAGAAATAAACAATCCCGAAAGATATTACAACCCATGTGCGTAATGTTAGAATGAAAACACCATCTCTGCGTTATCCATTACGCTTTCAGTTTCATGTCTTTTTTTCCCAACAATACTTACAAAACAATAGTCAACCAACTGAATACAGTCGCTTTAATTTTTTTCCCTTCTTTTAGCAAGACCTAAAATAATTATACCAACGACAAATACATCAAAAATAAAAGTGATCGAGGGAGATACCCTGGAATTAAACTGTTTTGCTACTGGCAATCCAACACCCAATGTCTCGTGGATAAGAATGCCTCTAGGCAATATCATGAGTGAAGGAGAAGGAAAAGCTACACTAAGGATAAACAATATCACAGCACATCAAAGTGGAGGATATGAATGTCGCGCTAGTAACAACCCAAACGAGGAACCTGTGACAATGGAAACCGTAACAGTTGTGTTGTGTAAGTATATTGAAATAATGTTCATAACGATATCCTAATATAGTAGATTTCAAGATTTTCCATGGAACAGGGCAGGATATTACAACGACTTTAATGAGATCAAAAAGTATTTATTGTTTTGCATTACATCATTTATAATTTTGTATACCGGAATGTAAATTTTATGCTAATCCAATCAACTACAACACCACCAGCTTTGATCTTTTTCTTTCAGTTAAGCCACAGATTGACATTGATAAATTCACTAGGACAACTGGGTCTTTAATAGGGAAAAATATAAGTCTACACTGTATAGCAACAGGACAACCTCTTCCACGAATCACATGGTATGGTCCACGTGAAGGCCAGATTGTTTCAGCAATAGATTACAAAACAAAAAAAAGCGTGTTGACTTTCGTAACCAAAGGTAGCAATGATTATGGACAATACAGATGTCAAGCAGAAAATGAAGTTGGGGAAGATGAACATTTTATTAACGTCACGCAATTGAGTAAGGAAGTATTTATCTATAAATATTTACTAGTGATGGTTTAATATACATTCAAATAATTTTGATCATAGCAATAACTTTTTTTTTTAAATTATCACTTTTTGGATGGATGGATGCGTGGAGGCATGGATGCGTGGATGCATGGATGCATGGATGCATGGATGCATGGGTGGATAAATGAATGG